ATCATAAATTTGAATATCTGCCGATACCGATATGAATCGATATAGTGTTTTTTAATCAACAAAACTGTTTTTTAAATATCTTGCTGCATTTTGTATAAGTTCATACTCAAGTTTAAAACACAACTACACTAAAGCTATTCTGTTATACCTGTATGCAAAAAAAATATTTCATAGTTCAGCAATACTGATCAATCTAATAAACTTAAACCTACACCATCCTCCCTATTCTGGTATTTTAAGAGTACTTAGCATAAATATTAAGCAACCTAATAATAGGGCTCCAACTCCAGCAACAACAAAAATAAATAAATAAAAAATAGGGAACCACCCTCACGCGCCACCTCATGATGCTTAATCGACGTAATCAACTTTAATTTGATGCAGTGTGAAAAAAATGCACAGAAATCAATTCTTTTTCAAGAAATATTAAATAGATTCAACATCTTTCTTCAACAAAATTGCAGACTGCACAGATGGTACCTTCCCAAAGGAAAAAGTACTATAGCTTACTAGGGTATATTAGACTTAATAGTTACTATATACAGTAATTGACTTCTATTCATTTTACATCAAATTAAAACTTTGGGTGTCAGATAATTATTTATTAAAAGCTAGACATTTTAAATGAGAATGAGAAAGAAAAGTATGTCTTTGTGCCCCTTTTCCCTGTTAATGCCCTATCGGCCCCCCTGGCTAAACTTTGCTAGATCCGCCCCTGCACAGTTACCAGCGTCAGCTACATAGAAAGTAATATTAAATACATTCTAACAACAGCTGATCAAGCTTAAACGTGCTGCTGTTGTTAAGCCGCTGGTTTCCTCTTTCTGGTGCAAAGTGGGCCAAAAGCAAACTAGAGACACGACTGGCGACAGAAAAGCCGATCAGCTGATCGTTAAGCAGTTTCATGATTGAAGTAGCAGCAAGAAGAGGCAGTCGCTCCATATATCGTTTGTTAAGCTTAACGCAGGAATGCTTTACAAACATTCAGAGATGGACTTACACACTTGCTTTACTTCTCTCGGGGATAACTTTGTCGGAGATGAAATGCCGGGTTGCTAGCGAAGCTCCACATGCTATCCAGACCACCGACAGGTCCTGCATGCCACAGCCGCTCTATCACGTGATGCATACTGCTCCGACGTGCTAACGTTCTGAGGTGAGTTACGGTGTGTTGCAAGTTTTGTGAGGTGCTTTCGTGATATTTAATGGATCGGATTACATTTTTTATTTTTCTCCGATATCCGATCCAGTAATTTAGGTCAGTATCGGACCGATACCGATATGTAATATCGGATCGGTCCATCTCTAGTCATGATTTTGCAAATATTCCACCTTGTAGTGCATTTTGCACAAATTGTTTTAAAAATGCACTCACCCTACAAACATTACTGATGAGGCACAAATTGATAGAAACACTGAAGCAGTTACCCATTTTATTCGTATTGTCATGTATGTCCTATTTGTCAGGTGACAGAAGAACCAACATAAAGCTCAGAGTAATGGGGATACAAGATCACAGGTGAAATTGGATGATGACTTGTTGGTTCATTACTTTATTTAAAACACGTGTGACTGCATGTATTTGGAATGTCTCACTGTTACTTATCAAGTGACAGAGGCAGCTCTGCCATGTTGTAGCTCGGACAGAGGTGAAGAGACGAGGTCACAGGTGACTGACTGATGTTTTGGTGCTATAGATTAACTAGTATTTATTATCATCATCCCAGTATCCTCAGCTGAGGCTGAAAGAAGCTTCAGTGCTCTCAGAAGACTAAAAACATGGCTAAGTTCAACAATGACTCAAATGAGATTAAACAATGCTGCTGTATGCCATGTCCACCAGGAGAGACTGGACAGTATATATATAAAACAAATATGCCAGCAGTTTATCTCAGTTAACGAGAGGAGAAGACATGTATTTGGCTCCTTCACATAGTGGACATTGAGTTGTTGTGTGGGACACCAGTCGTCCATGTCTGTTGCTGTAACAGTAGTTCATGTTTAGAATAAAAAATCCCAGCTCACTGAGTTGATAGGGGCAATAGTGTGCCTAAAATGTTGCATTATTTTGCTGAGAGATCTTTTACTTTGTGGTAATCTTAGATGAGTAGTTTTATGGACAAAAACCACCAAGTCATTCAGTGTTCCCATAGTGCTAATGTATCAGAGATGTTGGTGTACTATAACTGAAGTAATGTTGTTAAGTCCTTAAAGTCATATTCTTTTATTGTCATGACTGTATTTTTATTTTTGTATGATACCTGATTTATATGGAATATGGCTGAAGCAAACTAAAGTCTAAAATACTTAGTCATTTATTTAATTGTAACTTAACATTATATAATTCACATATAAAACTCTGAATTGTAATTTTAAATGGTTTAAAAGCATGTAGAATAGCATATGTAGGCAAGTATATTTTTCCTTTTTTATCAAGAAGCAAAGACAAAAGAAAAAAAAAAGAAACAGGGCAGGGTTCGGTGGTTGAATCATCCGTCCCCACCAATACCAAAACCAAATCTACACCCTTGAGATGAGCAATAAGATTCCTAAAAAATATACAGCCACTTTGAAAAGATCTACCACAGGATTGGATCAAAATCCCTCTATTCCGATCCAGTAGTTCACTACATTTAGTCTTTTCCAGGAGTCTGAATTATATATATTTATGATGCTTTACCTTGGGGTGAATGTGTGATATCTAAGCAGTAAATTGACAATTATGTTTTTCTGTTCAGACATCTTAATTTGGAGTTTTTTCTCATATTCTGATGAATGTGTATGATCCTGTAAAAGACTATGAAGCACTTCTGAAGGTACTTTGTAAAAAAATAAACGTTCTTTGATATTTGAGGTTTATGTTGTGACCCAATTTTTAGGGTCATGACCACCAGGTAGGAACCTATGTTATAGATAATAGTGAATGAGTGAGTGAGGGAATGATTTCAGACACAGCTGTTTTTTTGTATAATTCTTCAAATGTGGTGGCATGAACATTTACACACACCATGTTTGTTTCTTTTTAGGTAATTCCGCTGGGGATGCACCTGCATTAGCTGCTGTCTTTTGCATTTTCATTTATCATCTGTTTATATTTACTCTTGAAAAATCCAGCCTAGGAGTGCAAGGAAAAAAACATTTAAAAAGGCAGCAATCATGCAATGGAGTTGCAATGACAAAGGAAAATAAATGATATAATATAATAATAATGTAATAAAAAGTTAGTGACTAAAGATAATAAGCTTTGAAACAGTTTCTTTAACTCTTTTAAACATTTTTAAAATTGTGATATTGACTGGAAAAAAAAGTAGACCATCTCACCTTATACAGGCCAACAGTGAGTAAAGCCAGAAAGGCCAAACCTCCCAGGGATCCTCCAATGATCTCTTTGGTAAAATCTGGCTCAGGCCACACGTCTACTTCTGTCTCTATCTGAACAATGAGGTGACGGAATGTGGATGACTTTCCAGCTCTTGTATAACTGAAACAAGAGGAAATATTGTGTACTCACCTTGTATACAGGAGGATTACTGTTGGACCCTGTTGAAAAGTAGATGTACTGGGTTTCATCGTACTCCAGACTGGCTGTGCTGGTCAAGAGGAATTTGGCAGATTGAAGTCCAATCTTTTAAACAAAAAAAGAATGAGTTAAGAGTAAATGTCTGAAAAATTTAATGAAGTTACAAGTACATAGTAACAGTTGTACTTTTTTTTTTTTTATTACCACAATTACCCTTTAATTACCTGCTCTATCCATCTTGAACTGAGGTTGGCAGAGATTTTGTACGTCCTACTCTGCAGCCTTGCCATGAATGTGTTGCACTTGAACACTCTGCACATGGCTACAGAGCAGTCCTGTGGGTGATTTAAAAAGAGTACACTTGCTGTGATCCAGTGTATTGTGATATATTCAGTTCAATCCAATTTTATTTATATAGTACCAAATCACAACAACAGTTGCTTCAAGATGCTTTACATTGTTAGATAAAGATCAGTGTAGTGTGCAATGTGTTTTTAACTCTACAATTAGTCTGATTTTCAGCAGCTAAAGTGCAGAGGCATACTTACCACCACTTTATCCTTTTGTATCTTTGGAACAAAATCTGTGGCACCTGGTTCTTCATCATTTCCACTCTGACAGTCTGAAATCTGCAGTATATTTGATTTATGTTTGCCATGATTTTGCATCATGGCAAAACATTTATATATTACCTGTAGGCTGCTCAAATCCACCCAAATGTCTTTTTCACCAAGTTTCACTGGAACCCTGATCACCACGGTAAAGTTAAGTGTTCTGATATAATTTGTAACCTAAATAAGAAAAGAAAAGGAACACCAATCGTTACGTTCATTCTAAATCAAGGAACTTACTCAAGAAGTTACTTCATACTTTGATTGACTGTTGGACTGGTTTCTGAAATGTCATCCCAAATGTGAAATTGTTGTAGCTAAGGGAGCTAAAAAGACATATGTTAAAGATTAAATAAATACTATGCAAGACAACATTTGTTAATTTCTAATTGACTTCTTTTATTTTTAAACAGAACAACACACACCTTTCAAATGTCATGAAAATGCTGTATTTCACATCAATCCATTGCTTTTTGTAAAGTTCACTTGTAGGGGCATGCTCCTGATTTCCACTAAAAGAGAAAAGTGAAAACATTTGTACTGTATCTATGCTTACATGAAATGTACTTGTGCCAAAGGAACAGTACCTGGTGATATCTGCAGTGACAAAAATCTTCCTCTCAAGTTGACTGTTGGTTTTAATCTCATAGGCGACAATGAAAGAAGCCTGAATTTATTGAGAGAGATAAGAGTGCTTTGTCTTTAAAACTCTCACTAAAAGTGAGAAAAGATGTTCTACATTAAAAAAAAACATTAAAAAAAACAAACCTCAGTTTTGCTCTTGAAAATTGGCTTATCAATAGTGCAGCCTGTCATTCCTTGTGATAAACCATCTTCACTGTCCAAGGAGTTGCACTCAATTCTTCCCTTTGTTAGAAAAGAAAATGACTGCTGGAGACATTGGAAGAACAGCAGATCAGTGATGAACTGATACAGACTTGATTCTGATGCTTTACCTGCTGAATGGTGAACTTCCTGTAGGAGAGTCCAGCTGGGTACGTGAGAATAACACGACTGTTGTAGGAGTTTTCTCCTCTGTTCTCCACTGTGACTGTGACATTCAGAAGCTCATCAATGCCCACTTTAACCACTGAGGATCTGGTGGTTTGAATGAGGATCAGAAGAAAGGGGGGAAAAATAAGACTGCTGCAACACAAAAGTTATTGAAGCGCCATCATATTCAGCTTTGAGCCCAATGCTAACATGCTATTTTAAGATTTGTTTTCAGACTATTTGTCTTTATTCAGTAGCTTAACAATGAAGAGTAGACAGAAAAGAGGAAGACATGCATCAAAGGGCCACGGGTGCGATGTGGGAATATATTTTTACCTTTCTAATTTATTGAGTTATGCTCAAATTTGCTGACGTAAAGAACCATTGAGGCTGTCATCAGTTTTTCTCGTTTTATTAACGGTACGTTATGGAAATTGGGGTGGGGGAGTTAAAGCTTTAACAAAGCACTTAAAATTTGTATTGAGGGGACATAAATTGGTGCAAAAGGGGATATTAAGGAGACATTCTTGTGATCTGTTTATATAGGAAGATTCTCAGCAGATCAACTCACCTGGTGAAGTTGAAATCCACTTTCAGGTTATCAACACATTTGTTGTCAGTCCTGCAGTTAATCTCAAACCTCAACTGTGAAAGATGACATGATGTAAAGAGCATATACTAAATATAATATTTACCGACAAAATAAAACATTGTTTAGGTGAATCAAATGTCATTTCTTTCATATTTATATTTTGAGGAAATCATCCTCATTCAGGATAGAGAATGTCTTGAGGAGGAGGATGGAACTTCCCACAGTAGTACATGGCTCTTTCTTGCTAGGTGTGGAGCTAACCCAGACCTTTTTGCTTAGCTCCTAGCTTGCCCCATTCGTGAGGAAACTGGACTAGCAGCAACACCCAGGCATGAGAGGGTCAAATTCTTTCTGTCTATGGTGCCAGTAATGTGGCCTATAGTGACTATGAAGCAGAGGTGGGACCAAGTCATTGTTTTGCAAGTCTCAAGTAAGTCTCAAGTCTTTATCCTCAAGTCTCAAGTCAAGTCTCAAGTAATGTCAGGCAAGTCAGAGTCGAGTCTCAAGTCACTGGTGTAAAAGTCCGAGTCAAGTCACAAGTCTGAAACTCTGAATTTCAAGTCCTTTCGAGTCTTTAAAAAAAAAAAAAGAAAAAATAATGTTGCAGTTATATGCTAAATGTAAATATTAGACCATGTAATTTTAAAATCTGTGTTTTTCTCAACACATGACAAAATAGTGAACTTAGAAAATATACACAAATTGTGAAATTGCACCTCTTTAAAATGCAGCTCAATTAAACCTAGCTCCAAGAATAATTTTCACCAACAGTTCTGAGATAAGCTGCATGTTATTCTTGGATGCGGTTGTAGGACCAGCTTTAAAATCGCATGACAAAAATATCATACACATTAAAAAAAACTGTATCACCAACGTAGCCTGGACAACATTTGCTAGTTAGATGAAGTCAGCTATCTCATCGTAGCATATTTATATGCATATTTATAATCATACGGTTCTTGGAGTGAGTGCACACACTCATGAAGTTTAGTAACTTCAGGTCACTGCAACAAGCCCAGGTACAGTTTACCGCCGGATGGGTGCAGGACCTTGAAATGCACCGTGTAGAAAGTAAAGACCATCGTACCTATCATAAGTTTACCAGTCTCACAAATCGTCGTCATAAATACACATTCGTTAACCGTTTATTAATAGGACCTTTGAGCTCAACGGTAATTAATTAGTAGTGGAAATAATTTCTGGTAGCATCACAGAAATGTAGCAGTGACAATAATATTGTATGCTGTAATCGTACTGGGCAATTAGTGATACAAAACAACTGTTTTATCCTGTGAATAAAAGTATATGTTTTTGTCAATGTACCATAATAACAGAAGCGAAACGCAATATTGTGTCAGGACAATTCACTATTTATGCACAATAAATAAAGGAGCATAGCGCGACAATTTCTGTTCAGCGCCAGACTTGCTTGTAACCTATATCACCAATTATGTTATGAAAATGACGTATTAACTACTAAAAAACACTGACCTTCGTGTAAATGCTTGGAGCAGACTAACCTGTGAGCTGGAGTGTTCTGGGACGTTATATTTGATCTTTGAATGGCTGCAATCCAGGCCATCCGTCGCGTCTTTGTTACTTCGGAAACATGGCTCGAACAATTTCTCCTCAACGACGTAATCCGATAACAACCGATCTCTTTACCCGTCGGCTTCCCGTGGCTGTCATGCGACCGGCTATTGCAGTTAATAATACAACGGCTTCTTGACATTTTTGTGTTTCTTTTTATCGCTGTATAACTGATTTTAATTGAAAGCCTGCGTGCGCTAGTACCGCTTGCCACGAGTTCCCAGAATCCTTTGCGGTTCTACCCGTGAATGATGTCACATTTTCAATCTCTATATAATATGCATGTTAAATTTTATATTTGGGGTAAAATATCAAGTCGTTTCAAGTAAACCGGTTCAAGTCCAATTCAAGTCCCAAGTCATTGGTGTAAAAGTCCAAGTCAAGTCACAAGTCTTAGAACATTTTTTCAAGTCAAGTCTAAAGTCATAAAATTAATGACTCGAGTCTGACTCGAGTCCAAGTCATGTGACTCGAGTCCACACCTCTGCTATGAAGTCAAAAAGCCGCTCTCTGATCTGATACAAAGTACACATTCTTTCATTTTCTTTCTCACTTTTTGAGTCAAGTGGAGACATTTACCACATCCTTTAGC